AAAGTACATTGGCTTCCCTAGCACTACAAAAACCGAACCAAACCAAACCAAACAAAGCAAAAGGCATTGGCAAATAAAATTATTTTTATTTTGATTATTTTGATGCTAAGCACATACTCTACCACTGAGAGACACCACCCGCATCTTTAAATTTATATTTTAATCTAAACAACAACAACAAAAACTGGCCTTCAAGCAACACTTAGTCTTTCTGCTTATCATTTTATGAGTGGGTGAAATGAATGAATGAATGAATGAATGAATGAACAAACAAATGAAATTTTCTGGATGCAAGCTTCCTATATTTCAAAGGTTGGGGGAAGTTTATGCCTAATTAGTTCAGTTGCTATTTGGTGTAGGGACATGAAATTCAAAATCAAAAGCCAAGTTTTTACAGTTCTCTCTTTGAAAATGAAGCCCAACCTCCTTTTACTTGGTGGCTCTAACAATATCAGGTTTCCTGGGCAACCCACAGGCCCTGAAAGCAGGGCTCTAACCACAATGTGGTGACATCCTCTCTTTGAGATGGGGGACATCCCAGAAAGGGAGGGCCACAGAGGCCACAGAGCATTTCTGTGGTGGTTGGCTTGCTTAGCTTGGTAACCTCTTGTAAACACACTGTGCAGAAGATGGCAACAGCTTAGTTCCTTCTAACTTCTCCTCTCCCCATCCCACCTAGCTTAGCCCCAAATAGTAGAGGTTGGAGGAGATGCTAAGAACTCTGAATTATGGGTATTAAAGACTCAAATTCCTTTTAGCACCCGCTCCCTGACCCCAAGACTCCTATTACTGGATATAGGTGGCAGGGTGGGACTTATAGTTGAGTCTCTCTATAAGGTGACACCCCTCTCCTGGAGACCAGCTTGCATCCAAAATCTAGTCAACAGATTGTAGGGGAGACAGAAGAAAGGCCCAGCTGCCTGGTCACAATTAGGACCATCCAAAGGATCATTTCAGCTCCACAGCACCCTGCAGGTTAGGCTGAGGTCTACGGTGCAAACACATCACAATTCAACTCCTGCTTCAGTCTCTCTTGCTCCCGCACAAGGACTGATCTAGAAAGCACTGTCCAACAAACCTCCAGCATGCAAGTCTCTGTCTAGGAATCCTTTTCCTGGAGAAGCTCGTCTATGGCAGTCCCCTGCCTTGGCTTCTTTTCTCTTACTGCCCTACAATTACTCCAAATTCTTCCATGATAATCTCAAAGAATAACTCCCAAATCATTCCTGTTGCTATGGCTGCACTCTCAGTCTGCTCACTTGCATTTCCCAGAGCCCAGGGGACATCTTTACCTGGGTGTCTTTATTTTTTAGTCTCAAATTTAACATATTTAAGACAACTCTCTCTTAATACCCTAGCCCTCTCAACTCTTCTATTTCTGTTAATGCTATTGCCATCTCTGTAATCCGTCATCTTGGGCACCCTCCTGCTCAGAATCTCTCAGCATCTCCTCAGTGCTTACAGAATGCAAGTACATGCTTCCTCTCTTTGCATTCAAGGCCTTCCCTGTTGAACCCCACATCAGCCGGATTTCCTGCCAAACCTCTAAACCAGGATTTCTTAACAATTTTATTACTTGGATTCATTCAAGGGTCTGATGAAACCTATTGACCTCCTTCTCGAAATGTGTTTCTAAGCATAAATAAAACACAAAAGATTACAAAGAACATCAGTTAGATTTAAAGTTGTCTTTAAATTTGTGACATAGTAACATGTTTCATTATTAACACATTAGGTAACAGGATCTAGTGGCATGTCCAATAACTGTCACAATTTTGAAGAGTCGTGGGTAGAAAAGGATTTCAAGATACCTGCAGCAGCAGTAATGAGATATAAAAATATCTGTGGTTCCTATTGGAGAAAAAGTCACAGAACTGCTAATGCTACTGTGGCGCCCTGCCTGAGTTCATAATGGAAAGGAAAACTAAACTCTAATTAGAGGTTAGCAGAGATAAAGCCATTTTTTTTTTCCTCCCAATCCAAGTATACAAAATCCTGGCCAAGCACCTCTTTGCTATGGGCAATCTATACTGTAGCTCTGATTGGATATTTGTATTTCCCTAAATAAATATTATACATCCTATGCCCATTTTGATGGATGCTGGGAAACCAGCATTTTGGCATCTGGCCAAGTTGACCCCACTTTCCTTATAGATCTTTTGCCACAGGTTGTCCAGGTTTGGGGGCCCAGATCAGCAGATCTCACTAACTGCCTGCCCCAAGCAGAACACATTTGGGCCCAGAAGGTGTCTTCCTTGGCCTTTCTATCTTTGGTCCCAGGCCAAAGTGACTTTACTTATCTCCACTGACCAAATCAAGATTACCCAGGCATCAGGCCCATGACCATCCAGCTTTTTATGGAGAATCTAGTTGAAGCAGTCTCCTCCAAGAAGCCATTTGGAGCTATGGAGAAGCCACCACTCTGCTCAGTCTCTTCTCCTGATCCTTGGCAGTTGGGGAGTTGGGGATATTCTATCTCTCAGGCTCACAGGCTACTCTCTACCCTTATCTTGCTATGAAATGTAAAATATCCTGTAATTCATAGGACAGTCATATATAATGTAGGACTATCTTTTAAATTTTTTAATGTTTAATTTTAGTTGTAGTTGGATACAATACCTTTATTTTATTCATTTTATTTTTAGTTGTTGATGGACATTTATTTATTTATTTATTTTTATGTGGTGCTGAGGATCGAACCCAGCACCTCACACATGCTAGGCAAGCAGTCTACCATGGAGCCACAACCCCAGCCCCTGTAGGACTGTCTTCTCAAATTGACAATGTGCCCTTGGTGGGAACACTGAGTAACAGACACTCTAGATGTTTGCTTAGTGCCTCAGCTGTCCTCGTTAGCTTGGGATGCTGGCACCCAAGTCAGGGCCAATTGGTGGGCATTTTTCTCAACCCCTCTCAGTCTTCTCTGGCCTGAAATCCCAATGACTTTTATAGCTAGCATTGGACTGAGTAGCAGATGTATAGGATGGGGAAGTGTCCCCCCACTACTGTGGCCACTATATCTATCAGTTCTGAATCTAAGCTTTGTCAGACTTGAGCCTTTTCTAGGTCAAGAGGAGCTACCTGTACCTGCTACTGCCACCAGGGAGAGTAGTCACCTTGAGAGCCAAATGTTTTCAATTTCCTCCAAGTGCATGGTAGCCTGGGACCCTTGTAATTCGGCCCCCAACAAGGAAGGCCTGACCTGGGCAGCCTTTGCCTTGTAACCAGAATCAGGGAATGAGAACTCCCACCTGGGGCAGGAGAATGTGCTAACTCCTCCTGTGCTTTGGTGAAAAAGCCATTTTTAGGTAGGAGCAATCATGAGCCATCCTGCTGCTCACCTCCTTTGCTTTCTGTGAACTGGTCTAGTCTCCTAAAAATACCTGGTCCCCATTTCTCAGGTCAAAATGCTCCAGGTAATACCTATAGTCTGTAGTTAGTGGAGAAGCAGCTTCTTATGTTAGTTTCACCTGCATTCATATGAAAGGGATTAGTTGCTTATTGAAAAAAAAATTATGTGACTTTCAAATTATATCTCCTAAGAATAATGAATACTTACTTAGGGCTAGTTATAACAGTACTTTAAACTCTATAAAGGCGCTTTTTATATTAGGTTGAGCCATATGAAATTGCTGGTATCCAATTACTTTGAGCAATTTCATAGGGTTCAACCTAATACATTTCCTCATTTATTCCTTGCCATACTCCTTGGTGGAAAATTTTAGCCCCATTTTACAGAGTAAAATACTAAATCATGGTGAGGTAAAATGACTTTTGATTAAGGTTATGTAAATAAGAAATAATGACTTTAGTTGAACTGAGCCCATTTGATGCCAACCTACATACCCTTGATTCTTAATGTAGGATGATTCAGCCTTCCAGATCCTAAACGCAATAATGTGAAGAGCGATAAAGCTGGGTGACCATTTTCTTAACCTAGCCTCAGGAATGGTTCTGGCTGGCTTTACTTGTGACTTTTTCTTAGTCCAGTGGAGATCAATGGGTGCATATATGCCTGCTGTAGAAAGTGATGAGGTAATAAGTTTTAGTTTTAGAGGTTTAGGAGTAAAGACAGTATCCAGAGCATGTTAATCTATGCATTCAGGCATGCATGCATATATCCATCCATCTAAGAGAACTCTACTGGCAAGCTCTCATGTACCTGCCAGGCTCTACACTAGATTTTTAGCTACCTACCAACATGCAGGGCAGTGTTTTAATCAACAGTATTTCTGCCCCTTGGCCAGCTGGAAGGAGGGGGGCTAGAGCAGCAGAAGGTGGGGTGAGGCTGCCATGTGCATGAGATTTTGAGTAATTGTGAAACTGCTCTAACTTCTGAGCTCCAGCTTGATTCTTTGGGAGGCCACAACTTATATGACCAGGTAAAAGGAAGCCAGTTAGTTGTTGCCTGGGCTTCAGAAGTCTGGTACCACTGAGAATTTTTAGGCTGTAGGCTGGAGGAGGCAGCAGTAGGAATGAAAAAAGGAATGCTGGTGCCCCACCCTTAGGCACTGCGGAGGCAATGGGGGAAACTGCGGGTGGGGCTGCTGACAAAAGAGCTCTCCAAGGCTTCCACAAGAAGAAATTCATTTTTCTTGCAGCATAGCTGCTCCAAATCCCTGGCTGGTCTCTGGCTGCTCCACCAGCTCAGTTCTGGTAGCTGGCCAGATGTGGAGGGCGGGCTGGGGGACAGCTGGTTTGGAAATCATCAAGCAGTGGGCATGAGGCCACTGCTTTTGGTCAGAGACAGCATGTGGCCCTGCAGGGGATAATGACATTTCTCAGCTTCCTGCCAGCCCCCTGGGGGCCAAGCCCTCAAGCCTGCTGTGGAGTCCAAATGCTTCTCAAACTTGGCCTGGCTGGCTCAGCTCAGGGCAAAGCTGGCTGCCCTGTCTCCAGGGCTCTCCAGACACCTGCCTCCTCCCACACTGCCAGCACCCATCAGACGCCAAACCCCAAGATCAAATCCCCTCACAGTATGCAATTATGCCCATGCTCACCATTCCAGGCTCTAGGCTGTGTCTCCATGGCTGTCACCACTGTTGCCCAGGACCACAGTGGCTGTGGAGCCGACCTAGTTAAGATCTCACAGTTGAGTAAGCTGTGATGTGGGTTCCTCCCACCACACCCTCCCCGACCAGGGCTTTCCTCAGAGCCTCATTGCCACACTGCACTGCTTTTGAAAAAAAGGAAATGGGCATTGGGTCTTGAGTACAATGAGAAGTGCATGAAGAAGCTGTGAAAGAGGCACTTAGAAGGCAGAGAAAGCGGAATCTGTGACAGGCCTCAGATAATCATCTCCTGAACCTCCAGGCTCTTTCCTCATCTCTGTGGCCAGTAGAACTAGGGCACATGGAGAGTTAGGGCCTTTTTTGTACTTGAGTTGGCTGTTCTGCTCTGCACCTACCAGCACATTATGTTTACTGGGGTCAACAAATCCACACACCTCAAGAGGCCTCAGGAGTTGCCCCTAATGGTGAAGTTGAGTTTTTTTTTAATCCTCAGCATCTGACCTCCTAATTCAACATGACTTCCTAATTCACCAACCATAGAGTCTCACAGTCCAGGTGACATTTTAAACTCAGCCTGCTCCACCTCCACTGTCCACTATAGTAGCCACCAGACACATGTGACTCTCAAGAACTTGAAATTGGCCATTCTGAATTGAAATGTGCTAGAAGTGTAAGATATATACCAGATTTCAATGACTTAACATGGACAAAGAACATAAGATATATCACTAATAATTTTTATTATTGAATATATGTGGAAATGTTTTTATATATTGTATTAAATAAAATGCTATTAAAATTAGATCTCACCTCTTTCTTTTTACTTTTTTTTTTTCAGTGCTAGGGCTTGAACCCAGGGTATATGCATGCTAGACAAGTGCTCTTAACACTGAGCTAAACCCCTAGCCTTCTTTTTACTTTTTTAGTGTGGCTACTAGAAATGGGGGATACTGGTGCCAGAATTGGCAAATATATGAATGAAATAAAATACATAATCCCAAACAAACAATCTCATGTATATATGGGAATTTAGGGTATAATAAAGGTGGCATTTCAAATCAGTGGGGAGGAATATGTGGCTACCACTAGAAAATGCAAAATTTTATATGTGCTTCATTCCTGTACCTCACATAATACTTTTATTGAAAATGTGATGCTAGACTTTCTATTTTACCTACCTTCTGAGTATCTAAGATTACAGGTGTGCACACTATGCCCAGCCCCTGCCATTTTTTTTAAACTTACCATTAACTCTCTAAAGTTTTCCCATTTCTACTCATAGAGATCTCCTTCATTCATCCTAATAATTGCATATCATTCTATTGTGTGGATGCATCATGATGTTTGGTCTAAAGCTTTATTTCTATTCCTCCACTTGCAAACATTGTTCTCATTTTCCTCTTTATTACCCATTTTCTGTTCTCTCTCCTTCTCTTTCCTCTCACCTTCAAAACTCATAAGCAAGCAAGGCATGGTGGAGCACGCCTGTAATCCCAGTAGCTGGGGAGGCTGAGGCAGAAGGATCATGAGTTCAAAGCCAGCCTCAGCAACTTAGCAAGGCCCTAAGCAACTCAGCCAGACCCTGTGTCTAAAGAAGATATAAAAAAGGGCTGGGCATGTGGCTCAGTGTAAGGGACTGTACACAGGGGTACAATCCCTGATACAGAAAAAGAAAAAAGGAAAAAAAAAACTCACAAGTATCTGTGAATCAGGGACCAATTCCCTTTTGTTCACTCCTTGCTTCCCCAAGGCTTTGGAATTTCTACTACCTCAGTCTTCCTATAGGAGTGCTTGGGGAAGGGTGCCATGTTGCCATCTAATACTCAATTATAGATCACTATCATAGACGGCCATGTTAGCCCTATCAACAGTAGAGAGATCTACCTACCCAGTGCTATCATTTCTCCCTAGCAGTTTTGCCACATTCATGTTAACATAGGTCTGCTGCTTTTTTTTCTTTTCCTTTTTTTTTTTTGTGGTGCTGGGGATTGAACACAAAGCCTTGTGCACGTGAGGCAAGCACTCTACCAACTGAGCTATATCCCCAGCCAACACAGGCCTGCTTAGAGAGAGAAAAATAGCTCAGGAAAGTGGGTATGAGTATGTGATTTTTTTTCTTTCTTGGTTCAGGGGTGAGTGGGGGCAGGGTATATGCAATGAGCTTTGGAGAAATGACTTGGTCCAAGTTGGGGAAACCAATTTAATTGCCACCTGCAGTTAAAAATCACTAAGAGGTTCAAGGGTTCTGAAAAAGAAAACTATAGAGGTTGGAGAAAGGAAAAAGAGCTTTCTAGCTTCTGGGAAACAGGTAAAACAAGAGATTTGTTTGCTCTAAGGCAGATGGGAACCTCAGTCCTTAGAATTTAATTGAGAGAATAAAAAAGACAAGAGGGCTCAGCCAATTGTCAAGTAGATAATAGTTTCTGAAGGGTGGGCCTGGAAGGATTGAGAAATGAAAGCCCTGTTGATGTGCGTAGGGGACAAGTAGTGTGGGAAAATAGCAAATTTTCTTTTACACTCATTCTCAATGCACATGGAATAAATTGTTTCAAATAAAGAAGGGACTTGAATGTCTCTTGGAACTTTTTTTGTTGATTACAAAAACCTGCCCCCTCCTCTCTCCAAAAAAAGAAAGTTTTAAGGACCCAGCAGTTTAAGAAGGAGCAAAAACACTGGACTGGGAGTCAGGGGATGACTGTAGTTCTGAACTTGCAAAATATGACAACAAATAATTTGTATAAAATTCTCTTGGAAACCATAAAGCATGGTTTACTGGGGTTAAGCATGATTAATTGTTATGAAACTCAAGTTTGTCTTTGGCCTTCCCCTCTTCCCCTTTAATTCAGGCCCTCTTCTCTTCTGGTTTCTTGGATTAAAAACTACTGGGTTAAAGGTTTGAAAAGAATCCAATTCAAAGAACATACACTAGTCCCCAGATCACACAGACTGAAGAATATTTCCAGCATCCTAAGTTAATGAAAACTATTATTTTTAAAGTAACATCCTGTTCAATATTTGGAAACAAAGGATTTACCTTTAAGGAGAAATCTGCACTCAATATAAAACCAGAATGCTGTGTAGTTAGCTTTATTTTTCTACACAAAAGCAAAATTTTTAAATACAAAATGGTTACTTATGATCAAGTCTAAATTGGGTGCAGTGGTGCACACCTGTAATTCTAATTACTTGGGAAGCTGAGGCAGGAAGATCTCAAGTTTAAGACCAGCTGGGTAACTTAGCAAGGCCTTGATGCAAATAAAATAAAATATTCTGGGGATGTATCTCTGAGATACAGCAACCCTGTGTTCAATCCCCAGTGCCACAAACAGAACAAAACAATCAAGTCTAGGGCTAAGGCTGTAGCTCAGTAGTAGAGCGCTTGCCTAGCATGCGTGAGGCACTGGGTTTAATCCTCAGCACCACACAAAAATAAAACAAATAAAATAAAGGCATTCTGTCTATCTACAACTACAAAAAAATAAAAAAAATAAAAACCCAATCAAGTCTAACAACTTATTTCTGGATGTGGTGCTGACTTCACACTGTTGTACAGAAGAGAGAAGGGAGAAATAGAAACCCTCCACTCAGTGACCTTTGGCAGTCTTTGAATTGTCTTTGTGGCTCCAAGTGACCCAAGTCCTAGACTCAGCTAGCTAAGATTCTTCCTTGCCTCTTTCTTACTCCCAAAATCCAGACCATTACCAAGTTCCATTGATTCTACTTCTAAAATCTTTCCAGAATCTAACTTTTTTTTGCCACTGGCAATACCACCCTAATCTAAGCTGCTATCATTGACAGAAGCCTCCTAAGTGGCTTCCCAGCCCCCTCTCCTGCCCTTTTTGTCTCCATACAGCATCCAGTAAGTTTATTTGCTTTGCAATACTGGGGATGGAACCTGAGGCCTCATGAGTGCTAGGCAAGCACTTTACTACTGAGCTAAGCCCTGAGCCTGAATAGTCAGGTTTTATTTAAAAAAAAAAAAGTAATTCTGCTATATTCCTCTCCTGCTTGGACCTGGCATGGGATGATTATTTAGCTGTGAACACTCCATGCCAACAGTGACCCTGTCTGTTTTGCTCATCTCTGTGTCCCCAAGCCTGCCCTTGTGCCTAGCATATAGTAGACGTGGTATTTATTGAGTGAAGTAGTTGATTTTTGACAGCACACATTCCTATAGTGCTTCAACGATAATGAATACCTCACTTGTTGATCAGAATAACCCTGTTATTATTGTTCTCATTTTACAGATGGGGAAAATTGAAGCTCAGAGTATTGCCTGTGCATATTGAAATCCAGGTCTGCGAAGGTCAAAATCTCATGCCTTTGTGACTATACTCTGCTATCAGCTACAGAAGTGCAAAAGGAATGATGAATCTAGAAGTACTTTGTTATTTCTTGGCTGTGTAAAGGGCCATTTCACTCAGGCCTTTGGGGCCTAAGGGCAGGCACTGTGGGAATTCCTTGCCAACCAGTGAGGGGGTGGATTCTAAATCAGGCTTTCCTGGATGACTTAGAGAGCTACTCTAACTACAGTGACCTTATTTTCTGATTTGCAAATCAGGATTCTTGGTCTGACCAATAAAATAGTATACTTGAAACTGGGACTTTTCTGAAAAATCCAGGGCATAGAGTTGTCCTACCTGTACCAGATGGCAGCTACATAATAGGCCTTCTCAGCAAATTCTGACCCAGCCACCTCACTTCAATCACATCTTAAGAAGATTCCTAAAAAAATCACCAAACTGTTTTCTGGGCCTCACACCAAATTCTTTCTACCTACTCTTTTTATGTGTTTGTTTAATTACTTCCCTTATTCACTCCTATCTTTTCTGTTAGCAGCCTTCTTCCCAGTCTGCCTGAGAGAGCTTCTAGGTCCTGCTTGCTGATGGATGCTAGAATCAGTTGAGAGAAATCATAGGCAAAAGTGTTTGGGGACCATGGCAACAGGGGCCATGGCAACAGGGCCAAGCACTGAGAGACAGCCCTTCCTACCCTTCCTAGTTTCTGTTTCAGACCAAGTGGTGCTGATAAGGCCTGA